TAAGCAAATTATCACTGAAATCGGCCAGACAAGTCTCCTGCAAACTGAAAGTATTACTGACATATTCATTAAAACGTTGACTGGAGGTTCGGACCATTATCATAGGAATGGTTTGAAAGTTATACTGCACTTGGCTACAGCAGGTGCATTACCCTGTAGCGGTAAATAAATCCCCAAAATAAATGACCCTAAGTTTTCAACATTGGATGCTGACAATATGTTTTAGTGGACTCATCTAGCTGAAGGCGCTCGGTCATGCATCCGCACCAGATCACGTGTGGTAACGCCATGCTCAACATCAACCGCAGTCGCTAGCCAGATTAGATCAGAGAATTCCGATATATTGGTTATCGCCAAATACACTCTTCCGATCTCCTCGACTCTGTCTTTTGATTTCTCTGGGTGGGAACGAAATATATTAGAGGGTGTTACTGGTAGAAGCGTTGTCAAACACTGAATACCTGTGACAACATCAGGTTAGTACACCAAAGTTTCGTAACAAGCCACATTGGAACGCTAGTTGTACGTTGGCTTAGATAGAATTCACTACTCACTCTGTTCTAAATTAAGCTTGAAAATCAATACAGCTCACATGGTACCATCAATAATGATGCGCTGTACGATGTTTTCAGTGAATTAAATAGCAATATTATAATGTTTTGAATTAATTGAATTATAGCACGAACTAAGAGTCCCAGAAATAACGCAATTGAATTAAGAAGTAAGACACAAGCACAAACGGATGTATTGTATTTGGAATTCGAAATCGAGCATTCAGCAAGTACAAGGGTATCATTAGTTCGTTCAAACACCACAAATGTGCTGATAAAAAGAGTCCTGATCAGGTTGAAGATGTCACAGGTATTCAGTGTTTGACAACGCTTCTACCAGTAACACCCTCTAATATATTTCGTTCCCACCCAGAGAAATCAAAAGACAGAGTCGAGGAGATCGGAAGAGTATATTTGGCGATGACCAATATATCGGAATTCTCTGATCTAATCTGGCTAGCGACTGCGGTTGATGTTGAGCATGGCGTTACCACACGTGATCTGGTGCGGATGCATGACCGAGCGCCTTCAGCTAGATGAGTCCACTAAAACATATTGTCAGCATCCAATGTTGAAAACTTAGGGTCATTTATTTTGGGGATTTATTTACCGCTACAAACCCATTCTTTTTTTCTCGTGTCTGAGTAAATTACGGTTAGAGAACATCGTACAAATATCCCGAGCTCACAATTTTGAGGAAAATTCAACCCATTTCGTCAAATTTTGGGAAGCCGCTAAAGTAAACTTTGAGGAATTGGCACCAAAATACCGAAACTTCCCCAAACCTGGGGACATTCCCCAATATTTCCATAAAATTTTCACTTAATCTTGGTAAAGGTTGTAGGGCCGGCGAAATGTCATCAAGCCCTGGCGAAATCATCTAGTGGTTGGGTCACTGAATATCGAAACGATCTGCGTTCCCTGTCAAGGTCAAGTATAAACAACGCGCATCAGTTAATTGTACCCCATCGACCGTCCTGTGCGGTAATGGTATCTACTGTAATTGGTATATTACTGTATTAACGTCATCTGTGTTGTGCAGTCTTCAAAACATTATAGTTTCACGACCCCTCAGGTCGTCGACAATCCCCCAAAACCCAAAACTAGTTTTGACGCAACTGCTATTGCTTCTACCAGCAGCGTTAATGAATGGGTAAAGGTTGTAAGGAAGAAAAGTATTGATATAAAAGGGAAACCTGCCCCCGTAAAACTGGTTGAAAAATCGAAAGCTGATCATAGCGACAGATCAGCTATTTTTCATAGAATTAAGGAGAGCGATAGCTCTGAACCTAAAGCTCGTTTTGAGCATGATATTGTACTGATTAGGCAGTTGCTTAATCAACTCATGCCTCAAAATATGACTGGGGTCACCTTGCTAAAGGTGTATAGACTAGGGAGTCTAATGGACTCGAAACCAAATCATTCCAGACTGCTTAAAGTAGTATTCGGCTCTTCAAACGAACGTGACCTAATTTTACAAAATGGACACAAATTAAAGGGCTCGGGAGTCTTTATCCGAAAGGACCTACCGTTGGCAGACCGTGTTAAAAGACGGGAAGCCGAGAAAGAACTACAACATAGGTTAGACGCTGGCGAAAAGGACCTGAAAATTGTAAATTTTCGGGTTGTAAGACTTCGACAGAGAATGATGCCGAAGCCACTATGGGTGAAGCACGAAGGCACCTAAACAGGCTTCGGATCTGTTACACCAATGCACGAAGCTTACTTAATAAGCGATCGGAACTAGGTGTACAGATTGACTCTATAAAGCCAGATATAATCGCAGTAACAGAAACCTGGCTGACACAGGCTATAGATAGTATAGAACTTGATTTCGAGGGCTTTACGTTAGTAAGGGCCGACAGGACACAAAAGCGCAAAGGAGGGGGAGTAGCTCTATTCATTAGGAATGCTATCCCATTTACCATTATCGATAGTGTATCCCATGAGAGTGGGACGTGTGAATTAGTTAGTCTTCGCTTAAAATGCAAGGGACAAGAGCTGCTGATTGGTTTGGTCTATCGCAGTCCAAGCTGTGAGGCAAATGAGATCCTGTTAAGCAGTCTCAATACTTGGTCCCAAAGTGGTCGATGTCTAATCCTAGGGGACTTTAATGCACCAATGGTAGACTGGGAAAATCTGCGAACTGAATCGTCAGAAAATTCCTTCGAGCAGGAACTAGTTGATGCGGTTATCACATGTGCCCTAGTGCAACATGTGAAAGAAGCGACTAGGTACGACCCGGACACTGAATCATCCTTATTAGATCTTATACTGACTCACTATGAGGATGATGTTGCGAACCTCCACCATATGCCACCCTTAGGTAAAAGTGACCACGCAGTTTTAACTTTCGACTTCCATATAACTGCCAGTCATGAGGACGCGTCAGTCCAGTCCAGACCCAACATCTGGAAAGCAAACATACCAGACATCATGCACTCAGCATCGTTAATAGATTGGACAATAGACCCAGAGTCCTCCATTGAAACGGCCTGGGACACATTTCGAAAATCATACTTAAAAGTTACCACACCTCACATCCCTTGGACTATACCAAAGGGGCCGAAAAACTCACCACCATGGTTCAGTAGGGAGGTCCGTATCCTTCTCCGTAAGAAAAGGAAAACGTGGGATAGATTTAGGTTACTGGGGACTGATGAGTCAAAATCTCAGTATCGAAAGGCTCGGAACACTTGTGCCTCGACCCTCCGTAAGTCTAGAAAATTGTACGAAGAAAAACTTGTTAAGGAATCCATAGAATGTCCTAAACGCTTGTATTCCTATATAAACCAAAGGACAAGGAGAAAAGGAAATATTCCTGCTCTATGGGGAGACAGTACTGCTTCATCATTAGTGGAGGACGACTTTGGTAAGGCTCAAGCGTTCTCGAACTACTTTAGCAACGTGTATACCATAGAAGCGCCCTTCTCGTCAGCGTATACAGATCCCCCCATACATACACTGGATAGCGTGACCATTAAAGAACTCGATGTCTTTGGTCTGCTAAATAAGCTTGACATAGGTAAATCCACGGGGCCCGATGAATTACATCCTAGGCTACTGAAGGAATTATCTAACTTCGTTGCGAACCCTTTAAGTACATGCTTTAACCTATCCGTTACGCAGGGTCGCTTACCGAAAGATTGGAAAAACGCCATAGTAAGTCCTGTCTTCAAAACAGGCACGAAACACAAACCTGAGAACTACCGCCCCGTTAGCCTAACTAGTGTGGTTGTTAAAATATTAGAAAAGATTATTCGGAAGGAGCTGTTTAAGTATCTCGATAAAAACCGGATCCTCTCGGAGAAGCAGCATGGCTTCAGAATAGGTTATTCTTGTCTCACTAACTTATTAGTGGCTCGTGAAAGCTGGTGTGCTCTTAAGGACCAAAAGCTACCTGTAGACGTCGCCTTCATTGATTTCAGTAAAGCTTTTGATAAAGTTCCGCACAACCGGCTGTTATATAAGTTAAGACATGTCGGGATTGGAGGTAATTTATTGATGTGGATAAAAGACTTCTTAGTTGGGCGTCAACAAAGAGTAAGGGTGAACTCAAAGTTATCTAGCTGGGAAACTGTGCTTAGTGGAGTGCCCCAGGGTACAGTTTTGGGGCCAGTGCTATTCCTCTTGTATGTAAATGACCTTCCTTGTCTCCTATCATCATCGGTCTTGCTATATGCTGACGATGTCAAGATATGGAGAACGATACGATGTAAGAGTGATAGCTTAGAACTTCAAAATGACTTGAAGAAGTTATCTGAATGGTCTCAAACATGGCAGTTGCCGATAAATACTTCCAAGTGTGTTGTGATGCATATCGGTCATCAAGGCACAGATACATACACGATGAATAACACTGAGCTACCTGTCGTCCAGACATATAATGACTTAGGAGTTATCGTTAGTCAAGACTTAAAGACTACTGCACACTGCCGTGCAATAGCCGCCAAAAGTTTTAGAACGTTATGGTCAATACGTAGGGCTTTTAGTCATGTCGACACTAAGACGTTTATGACTTTGTATACAGTGTTCGTTCGTCCTAAACTTGAGTACTGCATACAAGCGGCTAGCCCCTGCTTTAAAAAAGACAGAGAGCTTCTGGAAAAGGTTCAGAGAATGGCGACTAAGCTGGTTCCCGCAATAGCGAAGCTTCCGTATGAATCTCGACTGACCAAGCTGAACCTTTTCCCGTTGTCATATCGCAGAACTAGAGGCGACTTGATTACAGTCTACAAATTGCTTAGTGATAAATTCGCACCTAACATGCCCTCATTTTTCTTGTCTTCCAAAACAGAGAATTTACGAGGACACTCCAAAAAAGTTCATTAGCCGAGAACAAATTACTTGTCAGCTGACTATCGACTTTCCCATCGAATCATCAACGAGTGGAATTCACTACCTCAGCACGTGGTTGAGGCTCCATCCGTCGACTCTTTCAAAAGAAAGTTGGATCAACTGAGAGACCACCATTGCCAGGACTAACATAGGCCATCGAGCCTCCTGTCCTTCCCAAACTGAAACTGAAACTGAAACTGAAACATAAGGTGCTGAACACGAAGTGTGACTCCGACGTTAGCTGGTTCGTCACACCATTCCCGTCAAACTCAAGTAGGCCTCCGATTATTCGACATAGATCATCTAGACTGGTGGTTTACAAGGTCATTTGACTTGAGGGATTTCCTCAAAATTGACCCAAACTGTGGTGAAGGTCATTTGACTTTGTGGGTTTCCCCAAAATACCACAAACTTCGGAGATCAGAGTGAGTCTCCATTTTGGGGTTCTCTGATATTCCCCTAGAATTTACTTCAACTTTAGGGGAAATATACTGCTATATAATATCAGAAACACTTTGCTTGTAAAACTGTACGACAGAAAACAACTAAGTAAATGTTCCTTAAAATATGATATATGCAACCTCAGTGACATCAAAGTAGTCACACGTCATGGACGCTTGTAATAACTTATAATATGTTGATGCTTCTCCATAATTACAAGACTAACATATAATATATAATATTCTATAGTAAACCGAAGTGAAAATATATTCATTTTCCAGGAGCTGCTTTTTTCATGTATAGATCAGTTTCAGATTCAGATTTATGTAGTAAGGACAGAAGGCCTACGGCCTATGTTATTCCTTTTCTAGTATGCTTCTGTGAGTGTCCAGTCTTCTCTTGAAAGAGTCAATTGAAGGTGCGGATACCACTGCTTCAGGCAGCAGGTTCCAAGTATTGATGACTCGGTGTGAAAACCTGTATGCCAGGGGTATTTTGTTCGTTCTTGGCTTTTCTACTCGCCTGCTATGTCCTCTGAGGTGTCCCGATCTAGTGGGAAGAAAGAGAGAGAATAAGTTAGGTCCGAAATCATTTCTCAGTATTCTGTACATCAATATTAGATCTCCCCTTAGTCTGCGATAGGACAGAGTAAAGAGGTTCAGTTTTTCAAGCCGCTCTTCATATGATAAACCCCGGAGTTCCGGAATTGCACGCGTAGCTGCCCTCTGTACCTTTTCTAGTATGTCTGAGTCACCTTTTAAACAGGGGCTTGCAGCCTGAACACAGTTCTCTAACTTAGTTCTCACTAAGGATGTGTATAATGTGGTGAACATGGTAGTATCAAGCTTAGTGAATGTCCTTTTTAAAGCCCAGAGGGTTCGAAACCCCTTAACTGCGACCTCCCGGCAATGGGCCGTCGTCTTAAGATCATTGCTCACTGTCACCCCTAGGTCCTTATGAGACCGGACTATGGGTAATGACATATCCCCTATGTTGTACGTATTAACCTTTGAATCCCCCAAGTGCATGTAGACACACTTTTCCGAGTTGATAGGCATTAGCCACTCTTTAGACCAGTTTATCATATTATTTAAGTCCGCCTGAAGAGTAAATGCGTCTGTATCACCAGTTATTACTCGCCAAATTTTTACATCGTCAGCGTATAATAACATTGGAGACTGTACTATACTTGTAAGATCATTAACGTACATTATAAAAAGTAAAGGACCTAGGACGGAACCTTGGGGTACTCCACTTAGTACTGGTCTCCAGATGGAGCACTTGGAATTTATTCTTACTTTTTGTCTACGACCTACTAGGAAATCTTTAATCCATTTTAAAAGAGGTCCGGCAATACCAAGGTTTTCAAACTTCAATAGCAGCCTATTAGTTGGCACCTTGTCAAAAGCCTTACAGAAATCTATGTAGACAACATCCAATGAGTTTCCTTTGTCTAGCGCATTAATCCAGAACTCCCTAGCTAAAAGGAGGTTTGTTGTACAGGATAGACCCTTTCTAAAACCATGTTGTGCCATGTTCAGCAAGTTATTGGTTTCCATAAATGCCGTAATGGTCCGTTTGACTATTCTTTCCAGTATTTTAATTACCACACTGGTGAGGCTTACGCGTCTGTAATTCGATGGAACTTGTCGTAGACCTGTTTTATGTATGGGAGTGACGATTGCGTCCTTCCAGTCCATAGGTAACACACCTTGGTCAAGTGACATATTGAATATCATAGTCAGTGGGGCCGCGATATATTGGGCAATATGTCTCACGATTTTGGGGTGTAGTTCATCTGGTCCTGTTGACTTCTCCATGTTTAGGGTGCTAAGAGCCTTAAGTACATCGTTTTGGTCGAAGTCCACGGGTCTGGTTCTTTCTCTAGAGGAGGTTCCTCAGTGAAAACTGCCCAAAAATAGTCAGCCATAGCCTCTGCTTTTTCCTGATCTTCCTCTATCATTTCGGATTCACTTCCTACTTTAATTAGGTTGAGAATCCAATGATGTATCCTTGTTCTGTAGTTTATGTACGAGAATATTCTCTTGGGCTGCTTGAGTGCAGATTGTGCCAGCTGCATTTCATATTTCTTTGAGTTTCCCTAATTTTTGTTATACACTCGTTTCTTATCGATCTGTAGCATTCCATCGTAACTGCTGTGCCGAGGCGGATGGCAATATCTCAGCATTTTTTCTTTTGTCTTAATAAACGTCGAATATCCCGCTCTATCGAGGGATGTCCGTGCTTCTTTTTCTTCGGGACAGTCCAGGGTATGTATGGTTGAGTTACCCGATTGTATAACTGCCTGAATAGAGTCCATGCCTCTTGTACTGATGGCTCTGAGTCAATTTTCCAGTTCTCAGCCGATGCTGCGGAGTTAATTGCCTGCATATCTGCCTTCCATATGTTAATTACGGGCCGGCGCAATTGTTTGACAAGCAATCTCAGCCATGAATTTGAATAAGATGACTGCATGGTCACTTCTCCCAAGTGGTGGGAGAAAAGCCTTTTGACCAATGTCATCACCGTGTGTAAAGACTAAATCTAAAAGAGAAGAAGAGTTTCTTAAGTCGTACCTTGTGGGATCTCTAATGTGTTGGAATAATGCTAGTCCAATCGAGGTTTCTAACAGTTTGGAGTCGAACGACGATATAGATGACTCTACTTCTAAGTTAACCCAGTTTATATATGGTGCATTAAAGTCGCCTACTACAAGGCTTTTACCGTTGTTACACCAGGACTTAAGTTTACTGAGGAGAAAATCATCTGCTACACATTCTGGACTGCGATAAACTACAACTAATTCAATATCTTGCCTTCGGCATTTCAACTTACATCTCACCAGTTCACATGTCCCTGAAACATGTGCTACTGTCTCAACTAATCTTATGGTTAGGCTACTTTTCGTGTACACAATAACCCCGCTTCCCCTTCGGTTTAATCTATCAGCCCTACTGGTTATGAAACCAGTCCATTGGATTTCACTATCTAATACTTCTGACGTTAACAGAGTTTCCGAGACAGCGATAACGTCCGGTTTTTCTTTATCCACCACTGACTTCAGCTCCGCCATTTTATTTAGTAGGCTGCGAGCATTTGTGTAGCACACTTTTAAGTCTGTGGAGAGCTTTCCCTTGCCACCCAGAGTGGCTTGGGGATCGTTTTGCTCCGAACTTTTACAATCTGAAAACCCTTAAGAACGAGGTTTCTTTCACCATTTCGGCGACGCTCGTTTATTTCCGCTTCTGCAGCCCTTCTCTTAATACGATCAGCTAGGCTGAGGTCCTCACGGACATATATTCCGGATCCAATCAGTTTACGTGAATTACTTAGAATCAGGTTCCTTTCTTCCACCGTGTTGAATGTAACCTTTAGGAGGTGGTTTTTCTGAGGACTTTCAGAATCCACTTTTTTTCCTATTCTATAAAGCTTACAAATACTAACTCCTTAATGATGTCCTAATATGATTGAGATCGTGTTCAAATCTTGCCTTTCGTTCTGTATTTGAAGATTCTCTTATCTTATGAAAAATGACTGATCTCTCAGAGAGATCTGTCTTGTCACGCAGTGAGGATTTTTCTTCTGATAAAGTCCCTTCCAGTGTCTTGCTGACCAGCTGCGTTTTGCCTACAGCCTTCTTCTTCTTATTTTTTTTCTTCTTACCGGAGTCCATTTGTCACCACTCAGAACAGCCACACCTGGACTATGTGGAACGGTGACAGTTTTATCCGGATCTTCTATTTCGACTAGGGGTGTATGACTGCCGATGTCAATATCAGGCGACACTTCATTTCTCGTTAATGTCAACGGAGATTTCACGTTCCCGTCAACCGCAGTCAGGTGTTTAATGGGTCCAGTAGGAGCACTTACTACACTGACACATTCTTCATCGTCAGTACTCCTGTTATCAGTGCTTCCACCATCGTTTTTATTGCAGGCCAAAGCCAATAGGCCCATAGCCTCCTGTATTAGTACCTTTTTATCCGTACAGCAGAACACAAAGCCAATGCGAGTTAGGCTTCGAGCATCTTTTGTAAGCCGTCGGACTTAGTCGTGTACACATTTTGTGATACCACTTTTTACAGTCGTCACACTGCATTCCCTCCTCAACGGAGAACAAACAATTTGGTTGCCCACATTTGTGAGTCTTACCAACCATTATAATTCGATTTAAAAGGTTTAAAAACAAAAAACGATAACAATGTGAACACAGGTCTTAGTCAAGGACTAAAAACAGGTACCCAGGACAAAATGTAGCAGAAAATTTCAAACTTTAACCAAAGAACTCTTAGTTAAAGTAGACCAAGAATGCTTTTTAGTGCAATAAGTACCAAAAGCAAGTATAATCACAACAAGTACAAAAATCACTGCCCTTTTTGAAACCAAACATATTTAGTTTCAACTTTCATCTGCAATGTTCGTAAGAAGCTAAAATGTTAGTTTGCAATGCAACCAATTTAAAGTTAATATAAATACTATTTCAGTGGAATGGGTCTACAATGACACTCCAGTAAAATAATTTTACTTAATATAATAAAGCACATAAAACCTGGCTGTTATGTTTTTCTGACTGAGTACACACAGGAAATGTCTAAGAAATATACATGTGTTACAAAAGGTCATATAAGATAATACCTACGAAAATAAATTACAGTGACGTCGATGAGTACTTTTGAAACCATCTGGAAAGTGAAAATATACAGTGGTTTCTACATAAACCTATGGACGAAATATGCGAACGCATGTATATCTATGCAATAACGCTTTTTATTGTTTTATGTTTACGCTGTTTCGGGTCACACCGCATATTTTTATCTGTTGCGTCTTGTAAGAAATCCTGGCTCGCAGTACCAAACGTTCATATAATATCGTTTTCCTGACTGGTAGCATTTTCGAATACGGAACATAGAACATCTGACAAAAGTGTCTGCTCTGACTTCGACTTACTGCGAGTTGTCCGGTGGAATCTCTAAACAATTGTATCCATTTTGGTTTTAGTTTCATGTGGTGTACTCACCAGTTCTGACGTCATTATGTAGACCAAAATCATCTTCATGGACTTACAAAGATCGCTCCTGATGATCACCGGCAGTTTTGTCATCTTTATTTCAATAAAACAATTGTTTCAACTTACGAACTGACCGCAGGGCTTTGGTCTGTGGAAATGTTTTGGGAAATATTAAGGGAAACTCAAAAATTTCCGCAATGTTTGAGGTTTTTCTCAAGATAAGTTGGAATTTCGAGGAAAAACTTCAGACCAGGGGAAAATTTAGGGGTTTTAGTTGGATTTTGTCTGAGAGTCTTAATGGGACTTCGACAAAGTTTCGAAATTCTTTCTAGCTTTGGGAGGTTGCAAGGTTTTTCATAGAGAGATCCTTACGAAGCAACACTTTAAAACTCTTGCTTGACAAAAACGGTTTTGATGAAAACTTTTATTCATGGCTGACTAGTGCTTTTTGAACTTTTTTTTAACCTATTCGATCTACTACAAAAGGCCCACCAACGACAGCACATTCAAGTTTGACACTTGGCTTATATTCATCTCTCAGTACTTTCCATATAATCTGTTTAAAAGGTTATAACCAAACTCAGCTGAATAGTGTTAGGTTGTAAAAGTAGCCTAAAACAAAGGCTTCATTTCTTAGTGCCAGAATGACATTGTGAAATAAAGTCGGAAGTTTGATCTCGGAGTATGTAATTAACTATGATCTTAAATAAAAAGTAATTGAGATTGTGATTTTTGATTGAAAGGCATAACTAATTCCGTACCTAGCAGCTTCATGTTTCGCCAACTGCGCTGTATTCGTTTTGTGATTTCCATCTAAAATAACGTCAGTCTCATGAAAAGTAGTTTTTTCTTTGGGACTTCCACTGGCTTTTTCGGGGTGTCCGCAAAATTTCAGCAAAGTTGTGATTTTGCTTATGTAAACTAAAGAAGTCGGAATTCAGTGCTGTCGTTTGCAATTTTATCTAATTTATCGAGATTTCAGCCCAAAAGTGGAATTTTATACAACACTATCCGGGAACTTCAACGTATATTAAAGACATATCTTCGATATGTTTATTTTCAAGATACTTTACAAAATATCGTGGAAACTGATGTTTTTCAAGATATAGATGTTATCTCTTAGTTTTGAAAATTACCAGGATCTAATGAATGTTAACATATCTTCAGGAATGGTTTCATGCCATTTAATCATTGAATAGTGTACTGCGTCTTCAGTTTCTAATATGAAATAATGTGATCGAGTTGCTATTCTGCCAATTATTGTTTAGTTTAGGTTTCACCTTCCATTTTAATATATTATTTGTCTTCTTTGATACTTGTGCGCACTATATATTTTCAACTCCTAGATTAACCACTAGGTTTTATAAAATCCATATTATTCTACTTAATGTTATTTTAGTTTCAGCAAATTCGTTTTTATCCTGTGTTTATTGAATATAGGTAGTTATGTTAAGATTGTTAGACAGTTACTGCGTCAAAACATTGCCACCAAATATTCTTTATATACCAGATTTTATAAATGAAGAACAAGAACAAGAACTACTAAAACATATTTATTCTGCCCCATTACCGAAGTGGGTTTCTCTACGTGGTAGACGCTTACAAAATTGGGGTGGTATTCCTCATGTTAAAGGAATGTTAGTTGAGAACGTTCCACAGGTTTTTTAATTCATATGAATGAGTTAACAATTTAGTCTATTTAGTGGCTACAAAAGTACATGGATCGTGTTTCTGAATTGTGTTTATTTGATAATAACAATAATAAGGCGAATCATGTTTTGGTGAATGAATATGAACCAGGACAAGGTATATTTGTAAGTGAATGTTTTTACCTAATCTCATTATTAAAACATGAAAATTACGTCCATCATTGATTTTAATTGTTTCCCTCAAAATCCTCTGTAAATTTTATTTCATCTGTCTTCTTGATTATTTACGGCCTAATATTAATAAAAATCAATCACATAATAGCATTCGCATTCATTATTTACTTTTTAAGCGTTCACTTACCATGTGCCATTGCTGTCGTATGAAATCTTGACACGTATTCAGAAAGCTCAGTTGCCTTTTGCCAACTTTTCCCACCCGTGGCGTGGTCTAGATGATTCTTCAACTGATGTGGTTGGGTGTTATGTATGCCTAACCACCAACTACGTTGACGGGCGACGTTGTATGATATGAGAGAAGGCTGGAAATCTGTCCGTGGTTAAACAAAAACGTACCATTGGTCTGTAAAATATTTGACTGTTGAACTGACCCATGTAAATCGGTGTAGATTACATGGTTAAGGTCCGCCCAATTATCGTAATCACCGGTCAGACCCTGAATTGTTCACAATGGCATAAAAACATTTACTTTTTCTCTTTAGCTACTGGATCCCGAAGTCTTATACCGTTTTGTTTCTTTTTTTGAAATGTTAATATGAGTAACGTGATGATCTTATTCCTCGAGATATATAGTGAAGCATTTAAATATTCACCAAAATAAATGAAATGTTAGTTGTCTGGTTCATGTTTTTTAATTCTAATGGACATCGTTTGACAATACAATGCCAATATAGAATTGACTTACAAGACAACGTATTTAGCATAGATTGTTACTAAATATCATGATAGCAGTTCTTAAGTGATTGTAAGCCTGATAAGTTCAAATCGTATCATCTTATATATAGCTATTCAGAGAATGGACTCTAATTTTCCTTGTTCTTTTATCATATGGCCTAATAAATGCCATTCTTGGGTTTATCTGGGTAAAATAATATAATATATGTAAACACATGTTTCTAGTCGTTCTAGATTCTGAGTCAGTTTTATATTTAGACTTAAACTTAGCCTGTTTTGTAGCAAGTTCAACTAATAACGTGATTTTAGAGATTAAATACGAAATGCGTTGGATATTTCATACTCTGCACACACTAATCGGCAATGAGGAAGATGAATGTCGACGAATCGTACAGTATGCGAATTTTAACTTGAGAGCTGAATCTTATGTTATTTGGATTGGTCGGAAAATCGATCAGCTTGCCAATTAGTTATTTGATTTACAAAACCAAATAATGGATAGGATAAATAAATAGATGGACGAATAAATCCAATACATATGCATAATGATGTTTTTGTAATATCACAATAATTATGACACAACTTTAAACTTAGGTTTAATTCAGTTACTTATTTCCTTTAAAGAAGTACTTTAGGTCACGAAACGTGATATCCATTTCTAAGAGTGCATAAACTTAATTGATGGGCCCAAAGTTACATTGTATAACATATTTCCGACCTAGTAATAAGCTATTCGGTTTCTGTTTTACGATTTTGGCCACCTTTAAGTTATAATTAAGTTCAGCAAAGTTGGATTATGACTTTTTCTTGGGTACTAGTTAAACTTCACACTATCCATATATTCAACCTGATTAAATTTCTTTTGCTTTTGTTCCGAAGGTGAGACTTACTCCAGTAAATCAATGTTTACAAAGTTACTGATATCACTGTGTTGAATTTAATTTTTCATGTTTTTAAAATTAATTCCAATAGCCTCATCATGATGGACCACTTTACTATCCTGTTGTTGCTACAATCAATCTGAATTCTTATGGAATTCTGGACTTTTATGAGCCGTTGGATACTTCTGCAGACCCAGTAACTATTTATGTTAGTATAATCGTATTTTCCTATAGCAAACAAAATCAACGTTATTTAATGATCGTTATATTGGCTCAGTTTATTTGAAACCTCGTAGCTTAAATATTGTTACTGAAAAAATGTATACACATTATATGCATGGGATTACTGAACGTACAACTGACTTATTAATAAATTATGAAGACTGTTTGAAACGTCCTGAGGAATCGGTTGAAAACGCTGCTGTTATTCATAATTGGACTGCTAGCGATTTGGGAAGTATTCACTCACAGTTATGTCATCGTGGTAAACGTGTTTCAGTAACTATACGCTATGTGCCCAATGTGAGTAAGATCAACTGGAATAATTTATTATGCAGAAGTTAAACTGTTTCCACTTTATTTACTAATACAACTGTTGTTAATTACATCGTTTGTGATGAATTTTTATTTCACATCATAAGGAATCCGTATGGATTCACATTTTTAAATGCATTCAATGAAAACGTAGAACCTGGGGTCAATTTGTATTGGTCCAAGTTACCACACTTTACATTAGCATAGCTTCATGAAGTTAGTAGGATAAATGGCATGGTAGTCGAAGTAATGTTAGTATATTTTATTATGAAAAAGACTAAGCAAAGGAAATATAATTCAAAAAATAGTAATGATTTGGTGGGCATAAAGTGTGAAATAATATTATTACTCATGATGTAGGAGCATATAAAGAATGAGTGGATCTGTGTTAATGCAGCTGATTGTATGCCATATCGCTGAACGGCTAATTAGTAACACCACTCTGAGCCTAATCTCTCGACAGGCTTCAGTCTAACACTCAGTGGCTTCATCTACTGATTCTTAGTCTTAATTTGGTCACTACTAGTTTTCTCATACCAGGAAATCTGTAGATAGGGATAGGCGATGGTTGGTATTAAGTACTATGTAACAATTGCCTTGTTTTATAAACGTACACAACTTCGTGAATCTCACTATTAATCAGTTGGTGATCTCATCTGCGAGTAATGCCTTGAAGGGTTTTATAACTGGGTATTAAAAACTTACGTTTGTTATGTACCTCTTAGGTCAGGTATTAGCTGTATAGTAATTTTATAACCCAATTACTTCACTTCCTGTGGTTAGGCCATGTATAAGTACTGACCAATCGTAAAATAACAATTTACATTTAAAGAGACCGAAACAAATCCTAACCATTGTTGTTTTGTTAATTAAGAATTTTAAAGGTCTTTGGACTGTTTCATCGCTCTCATCAAACAGGACTTCGTTATCTACATGTTCAAATAGAGCTTCAATCGATGATATGCAGTGTTATAATGTGACTAAGTGATGCTTGTTCACAAGACCAAATTAGTGACACGAATTATTTAGTAATTTGAGGTCAAGTACAGGGCACCACCATGAAGAATTCTTTTAATGCAATAAAATGATGTACCTATGTACAAAATTTACTTATTTGAACACATAAATATTGGTACAAGAGGGCACCAAATATATATGCGCCACACAAAACAATCAGAATTCGAAGAAAAAAAGTACAATAATGAACGGATTAGTGTAAGGTAGTGTAATAATAATAATGTGCAAAATATTAATACGAGAAATAAGTTGACGTTGGTGGTTGAAGGAAATCAGTTCGTAGGCCACTTACTATTCGACCAATAAAGTTATGAGCATCAGGCTCAATTCTTGCCAGTCGTGTTACCTGAAGTTTATGGTCAGTGGTTTACAGAATATTTACTGTTCCTTTAGTCAAATCTACCATCGTCGTATATCGTTGAATTCTCTTTAGATACTTCTCTTGACTACATGTTAACTGCTTTTAGCAAGGGAGGTTTCTGTATTCTTCTAGTAAGTTAGATGGTGACACAGCATATGACAAGACTCCCGATTTTAGTTGGATATCTCTCGATTACTTGGTCAATCCTAGAAATCTTGAATATTCTCAGCAGAACACTGGAGTCTGACAATTAAAGATTTCTCAAATGATTCAATCATATGAAGAAAGAAATGACCCAATGTTTTCTGCTAAGTTGTTCCATCAGATTTTACCATTGGAAAAGTTCGATATTTAGGCTTGAGAAAGGAAAAAGATTATTAAGGCGTCCATTATCGTAGAACAATCACTAAGTATTTAAGATCCGAACTGACTTCTCCCAACTTATCTTAATCATGGCTCTGTAGTTTTTGTAGACGAGTGTTCATTCTTTGGCTTTTTTGCACCAGAATTCTGACAATACAAAAGTTTTTTAAATGTTAGGTTCTCCGCTATTGGTATTCCAACGAATTATTTTGAATAAATTCATCAAAATGGATACCTATCCAAAGAGCACTACGGTTTCATTAAAAGTTTCAGTCTACTAATACTAAATCAGTAGTCAGTCGACTCTTTAAAAATAATCCACACTCCTAATTCATACTCTTCGTAGCGATAACAATATTAACATGCGTGTGAGAAAAAGTCATCTTTAAGAGGTTAGTTTTACTATAAGGGACGAACTACAAGATACGTTTTAATGAAATTTTTGGAGTGGTCATTTTTACTGGAGACAGATATAAGATGGGCTTTTTTTGCATAATGAGACTGCTGTAGTGAGTCATAGGGTTTGTGAATAGTATCTATACACAACTCTTCTAGTGCGCACCGTAGGTTCTTACTATTACAATTTAATATTTTTTCTATGTAACTTAGCTTTCCGTACATTTGTGTTCGCAGAGTTCCTTCATTTACTTTACTTATTGAGGCATCCAAGAATGAAATTTTATTTTGTGACTCTTTTCTTGTAAATTTTATATCTTCAGAGATGTTTTTAATCAAATTATAAACATTTTCAAGTAAAATTCTTTGGGATAAATGTTCTATTTATGTAGGGTATCCAAATATTTGGTCTAATTCTCAGTAGAACCATGCAGTCTTGAGTCTATGATTCGACCATAAAAACACGTTCACTAATTGTTGGATGTATATCGAATATCTTATTAATGTTCCAGTCAATTTTATATTCACCAGTCTCGGTTTTTCGGTAGAATTTCTTCGTTCAAATCTACTAGTGCTTATCTCAAACTTATAGTGGACGGGAGTTGTAGCGTAACCAAATAATCATTATCTTCACTTACACATCCGACTAATTATTCCTAGTGTTGAGATACTGGAGAAGATTTGTTGTTCAGGTGGATAATTTTGATGGGGTTTTGTTCTCTGAGCTCAGAAAACAAAACCCCATCAAAATATTCCTAGTTTACAACACGGTAAAGCTAAATACTGTCGTATACTGACTATTCGACTACTTACTTGTATGAATTAAATACAACCAAGATTTCTCTATCCGTCCTCTCCATAATTAATTGTACTGCTACGTTGGCAAATTCGATGTGAAGCTAAGCTCTTATTGCATCATATAAACGAAGCTATGATCTATAAAGTACGTACTCAAATTTTACCTTCAATTTACCAAATGTTATCTATTTTAGGTGTTTATTAAATCAGTGTTGTGTATATCACGAAACTACTTGGTACTTATGTAAAGTTACCTAATTTGTCTTAAAATTTAAAGTGGATTGATTAATATATGAACACTGAGTATTTTCTAGACGTTATCGAATATTTAGGTTTTTCTGAAAGACGACCTGATGTAGAGGCAATAACTGGGTCATATGATTATTTCTTTGTTAATCATCTATCAATTACGAATTCTATCATCATGTAGCTATTTTCATTTTAAATTTTCTACATATCGTTGTATACTTATGCTATTTTAAACTAATTTCATTTTCTGACCCGTTAGTATATTGTTTCATATCCATTCTTTGGGCTCTTATGTTAATAAGTCGGTTTTCATAAGTATTTATCATTCTACTGTACCAATCATGTCGAATCAAGCAATCAATCTGTTCAATCAATTTAATCGTTTGTTTTTTTCATCACAGAAGAAAAAATTTTATGGTTTAATATTAGATGGATTGGTACTTATTTATTTACAATCTTTTATTCACTATATTAATCTAATTATCAACCTAGTTGCCAACTTATTAGTTTGATACAATACGATGTACCATCAATAAGTTTGACAAGTCGGAATTAAATTATGACAATCCATCATGAAATCATCTATAGGTTACAATTCTTGATTACGTAATGATTGATTTGTTAAGGTTGATTTTCTTTTTAAGGTCAATTGTCAAAATTACTAAATGTCACTATAATATTAAGAGTTAATATTTGGATTAGCGCATTACAAAAGTGTTTTTAATCACCTAGTTTTAATTTAGTAGGTTGTACTAATGTACTAATGATATAATTTCCAACATCTGAATATCTTGCTAATTAAATTGAAGAATCTATAAATAGAGAACACAGGTAAGTTTTTCTATGTACCATTATATTCTTATATTGAATATAATGCCTACATTCAATTTGATAGGACTGTTGATGTAAAATGCTTTACAACTATTTAGAAAACATTATTATTTACAAGATAAGTGAAACATTCTAATCATTACAAATCAGTGTATGTTTAATGCATTGAATTATAAATTTAATAACATATACGGTCTTATAGATATCATTACCAAGGTTTGATTTGATAATTTCGAATAAATTGAGAATTGGGTAGATTGTTATAAATAAAACGAATATGTTTGGAATATCTCAATGAGTAGAAAAAATTAGATTTTCTGACGTTTCGTGACTTGGTGTAAGCCACTTCTTCAGATAATAAATAACCAAATTAATAATATTCGTGTTGTTCCGTTGTATTATTTAAACTTGGATTAATTTTAATTTGGTTGTTTATTCTCTGAAGAAGTGGCTTCCACTAAGTCACGAAACATCAGAAAATCTAATAATTTTTCTACCGATTGGGATATTACAAATATAGTATTTATTTATATACGGTCTTAGTTTAAGTAATGAAAAATTACATTCTTGATACAAGACATAAAGGTCTTTGTTCAATATCGTGTCTTGACTTAAGTTTATGCAGCTGATGAATCTCAAACTAAAATGGAAATAATAATCTGTTATATCCTGGTTTTCAATAGTTCTGCAGTGTGTCATTGCTGATTATAAGTGCATAACTGTTTATGTATGGAATTTTGTTCTCATGCGGTATGGCAACTTGGACCGATGCATGTATGTGCCTGGTCCAACGTTGTAGCTGACTGACTTTTAATATCCTAATATATAGTTGTATACTCAATCTGTCGGCTAATTGTTTTATCATTCTGAAATACATATAGTTGTGACTTAATATTCGGTGGTATGATGAAATTATCAGTTTGTTAACCTTGAATATTTCAATGTTTTATTAAATTGTTTAAGATGTCAATGATAGAACTGATGTTACTTCTTGGGGAAATAGCTTTTAAATCACTGAAAGAAATCTTCAATAAATCACACAACATAAAGATATTT